TCAACAACATTTGTATATTCAGAGATTCTGGAAGTTTTAATGAGGCAGAAGGAGGAGATTACTGTGTAAGAATTTTTAATTTTTAACTTTTATCTTAATTTTTTTTTTTTCACACATTATTGTTCCAAGCACATTATTTGTATATGTCTTAATACATGTCTAGAGGGGATCTTTAAACTTACTTTAAAATTAGTCGAGCCACAGAAATATTTGAGCTTTTGTCCTTGCATTTTGATTTGATGCTACCATCCTTCTGAATAAAAGGCAGTAACAATCATCATACATTTTGAGGCCGACAAATAAATAATATTCCCGGTTAAAGCCCCATAGCAGATGGGACAGACTGAATGATTCCCCATCCTGCTGATGGAAAAGTGGACACAGCCATACCTGACTGAGGGCTCGTCTTCTTTGCCGCCTTCTCCTTCTTGAACTTGGGCACTATGCGAAACATGCTGCTGCGACTGTTCCTCTTGCCGTAACCCAGAGAGTGTTCCTGGTACATAAGCACAGTCAACCTATAGCATTTCATTTAGCTACTCAGCTCTCCCGATGCCTGTAGCCATGTTACGCATAAAGACATACAGATTAAGTGTGCACATAGCTCTTACTGTTATGAGGGGCAGGAGTACACAATGTTGGTAATGTTACATGTTTTATAAAAATACTACACAGAAACGTGTGTGCACGTGTTCATCTGTGTGTGAGTGTTTGCTGAGGCTGCTTACCTCCTCATCATTGGGCTGCAGTATATGGTAGAGCCAGGGGATCTCTCCCAGTTTGCCCAGTTCCAGCTCCACACTCTGCAGAGCATTGGACAGCTGCTCCTCCTCTGGTGGGTCCAGTTGCTGCAAGGGGGGAAAACACAGGCCGGGATCAACTAAACGCATCATACTGTAAGGACAACTACTAAAATAAGAGTTATATTAAACTAGAAGCATCCTTTAACGCTGCAGTATGGTTGAAACATTAAATAATATGGAGTAAAAGTAAAAGAAAGTAATTAACACAACGATAAAGTCTCCTTTACAGCCATCATAACTCACCAGAGAGACTCGGCCCAACAGAAGTGACTCTGTCTCGTTGTACAGAGCCTTAACAGTGCTGGCCACCTCTATAGCTGTGTTTCTCGTCAGACTCTAGAAACAGGACACAATACTTATATAGTAAATAGCACACTGAGCATTTAAATAGCTTAGCTGCAGTTCAAAAGAGGTTCAGTCTAATGAGTCATTTTTAATATGCAGCAACATATTAAAACAATCAAAGTAAGTGTTCTATTAAAACAAGCTAAACTGCAGCTAAAACAGATGTTTTCACATTCATCTGCTGAAAGTGGAAAGAGTCTCTGTGCTCATTGAATATCTGATTTTAAGGGGTGGGACCTACCAGCAGGATTTGAACAAGTCAGTCCTTGTCCAGTATGCACCTTCTACAGTTAAGTGTGATTTAAAACTTGTTTGAAATGAATAACATTGCATATTGTGTTTTTAATGTGGAAATTATACTTTTTTTACATTTCAGACACACATTATTGTTCCAAGAAGACTATTTTTTATGTGTTAATACATGTCTGGAGGGGATCTTGAATTAAACTTTCACTAATTGCTAAATTACAAAATAACATTAAATTTAGCAAAATGACATTTTTGGCAATTTTAATTACAATATTTGAACCTACTTCTACATAAAACACCACCAGGTAATGGTGCTATTTTAATTTTGTTAGACTACTGCTTAAAGCTTAGCCTGTGAATAAATGATTAAACAGACAAACAGGTTACCTGCCTACTTTACAATATACGTCCTCTTTGCACTTTCTATAAATTGGCTTTTTCAGTTTGTCCAGCTGTCAAGGACTCTCTCTGGCTTTAAAATGGTATCAGTGATTAGAAAGATATTTCCATATCATGCTATCGTGTTGATAGCTAACCTCTGGGAACTTGGGGTGTGTTTTGTTGATGGCATGAGATGCGGCATTAACAGCATGAGCCAGCTCCTGCTCTAACAGCCCATTGGTCTTCGCAGCCTCACATATCCTGTGATTGGACAGAGCAAACATCAGGGGGACAATTTATGACAAAGAAAAAAAAAAACGGTATTCTTTATAGATCTGTAAAAGCCTGTGGATAATCATGGCAGCACATGTTTACCTTGTAATGAGCTCCTCTGCAGCTCGGGCGCACATCTGCACCAGGGCGGCCTCCTCCTCTGTAGCCAGATCCACAGACTGCTGTGGGTAGAGGTGAGGCCGCAGAGGAGGCTTATCATACTTCAATTTGTCCTCCCATGACTTCAGTGTGTTCTCAAACGCCTGCAGGGGGAATCAAAGGATATATCACGTAAAGCTATGTCCAACCTCCTCACTCAGGTTCATCTTATTCTCCACACTTTCCACTTTCTCCTACTGCTCTTCACTGAGCTCCACTCTGCTTTCCCCTCCCTCTCTCTTTCTCACCCGGTCTCTGGTGAGCATCTGAGCTCTGTTCTTGTGCTGGATCTTGATGACTCCAGGTGGCTGGATCCAGGCCTCGCCGTCCACCTGAATGGGAACCCCCTCATCACCCAGGATAGTAATCTTCACTGTTCGACACTGATTTGGGCAGATAAGCTTGGATTAGTTGTACATATTTATTTATGTATAGCTATTTTATTTTCATAGAATTTGTAGTGTGTGTTCTGACCTGTGCTATGCGGTGGTGTTGCAGTTTAATGACTCTGGACACGGCCATCTGCATGCTCCCAAACACAGCCACAACCTCCAGGATCTTGTCATCAAATGATGGGGCACAGAAGATCTGCACAGCACAATAATGACATTCAGGAACTTTGCATACCATATAACCAATAATTTAAATAAAGATTTTAATAAAGAATTAGGCTGGTTACGTTGATGTTACGGAGTAAAGTGATCTTGCATATTGCAAATATTCTTCATACTTAATACTCTGATCTTTTGCCCATTCCTGCACAAACTGTACAACATATTGTACATATTGCTTGTTATTGTCTTTATAATATTTTTTCTATTTATTCTTCTTTAACTTGCAGTATTTGTTTCTTTATATTTTTCTTTCTTCTATGTTTATTGTTATGCACTAATATACCAACGTAAATTCCTTGTATGTGAAAACCCACCTGGCCTACCCTGATTCTAATTTTGAGTTACTGAGACAAAGGTATCAAACTATATCCCTTATGTAAGGGATAATGCCCGACGAGGTGTCC